TCTAAAGCGAACGAGAAATACAGAAAACATTGATCGTTTCCCAACGATTTGATGCTCTGGGAATTCGATTGTTTGCTAATGATCATAACACCAAATTCTTTCGCACCATGCACGGTCTGATCTCGCTTGGCCGCTTTCCGATTTACTTCCGAAGCATGGTAATACACAGTTTTTTTAAATTCAAACGTGGGACGTTTGTCACAACTCTGTATTACCATGCTTCGGGAGTAAATCGGAAAGCGGCCAAGCGAGATCAGACCGTGCAATCGGATAAAACACGTTTATGCATTAGCGTTCCAAAAGTGGAAGGTAGCGGTCAAGCGTGAGGGGGTCCAGCCACCTTAATAGTCTTCATTTTTCCCCATAGTGTTACAGATATAATATCTTTTTTTCTTTATCTTTTTTTCATTTTATTTGTCACATTTTGTATTCGATTCAAGTAGCCAATTGTAAATTACCTATACGTAGCTAGATTTACGATTGTATTTCGGGGAAAAACTCAATCAAGTTTTCATTATTATTATTATTTTGGCGCATTACATAAAATATATCAATGCTCTTACAATAGAATTGAATAAATGAATAAAAAAAATTTTTGATTAAGAAAATAAACGCAAGAATAGTCCCCTTCACGGTTCCCCGCGCCATCTTGAAAGGTACGGCCGGGCCTTTGCATCCAAGCGAGACCAACGTTGAGCTTGCAATGATAGAGACCTTTTTTAACACCTTGGACAATTATTCACATGTCACATCCTGTCATCATTTTCAACAATATTTAATGACAGATCAAGCGTGAATTACTGTATGACAAAGTATATATGTGTACATATTCAAACAAAAGGTTTTGCTTCCACTGAGTCTGATTGGACGTTCAAGGTTGGTTTTAATTCCCTGACGAACAATATTTCATAAATTAAACAATCAAATTTAGAACGACAACGTTTTAAGATGGTGACCTTATGAAACACACGAAGAATAAACAAGTGAGCAAGTAAACACTTGCCTAAGACTATAAAGAGGGATTAAGAGGAAATATTTTTCAATAATGAGCAGTACTGGCAAAAAGCGCCAAAAACTAGACTTTCGTATGAGTTTTGATCCCAATTATTCGTTTTGGGTTAACACTCAAAACCTTTTTTAAACAGTTAGAAACTGATGTACTATGATAAGATGCCTGTTTGAAGCGGTATTTTCAATTGTACGAAGATGTTTTGTTGCATTTGTTTTAGAATGTACCTTTGTCAGGCTTTTTTTAGAAAATGTATGGAAAATAAGCAAAAGAAGACCTAAACCTCATTTTCGATTAAATTTTTTGCTTTGGGTTAACACTTTGATTCCACTTTCATCGGTCATTTCCACTTCCAAACAAGTTAAACTTTCTGAATAACAAGATTTTAGCCTTGTAACAACAGCCTTTCTTCAAGTAAATAGTATTGGCGCTCACTGCTTGAATACGAAAAGAATTCTCTCTTAAGGAGGCTGGAAAGTGTTTTTTTGCCTTCACATTATGAGCTAAAAAAAATTAATATATGATATGACAGCAAGTAAACCTGGAAAGCCAAAGACCATAAACCAAAGATCGCAATGATCCGAGCATGAAAAAATGACGTCAGACGTTGCTATGACAACATCAGAACCCTTGCTATGCCATCAAAAATGTTTATTTAAAAGATTATAACTCAGGAACCAGATAGTGTTTTTTTTAAAAACCGGAATATTTAAACTTTGTATCATAATATGTAAAAGGCAACTATTCCAAGCAAATTTTATTGATTTTTACGAATATTCCCTCTTAAAGAAATTTTTCCTTTTTTGTAGTATATATCGTTTACAGATTTTTTTTGGATCATTTCAGTCGACCAACTTTGCGATTTCAAATGGGAAATCGCAAAAGAAAATTAGAATGCGAGAACATCTTCTTATTGACTCCGTTCGACTTAACGCCTGGGACAATATTTTCAGTATTGATTCTACATGAAGTGAAATTGAAAGGGGAAATATTTCTTTATTTGAATGTCACCACAAGCTTCATTAAATATACAAATTTTGACTAGTCATTTCACACAAACAGCATTTAAAAAGCATCATCATTATACTCAAGGTTTCCACAATGTTTATTTTAAATTTGACGTCTCGTGACGTTGGCTGGTGTTTGGTTTTAAAATTTTAAAAAGTACACACCTAAGTGACGCCACAGTCATCAACACATTGGAAGTATAACCTTCATAACTTAAAGACGCAACATTCAAATGAAGAAAAGTTCACCGTTCAACTATTCACTTTATGTTGAATCAATTCTGAAAGTGTTGTAACGAGTTGGGTGCACTTTAAGGAATTAGAAGAAATAAGAATATATAAATTGGCGAAGCTGTAATAATTATATTGGAAGCAGTCTGAGTCAGACACTGGCGCCAAATGCCCCATATGGAAGAAGAAATGGCGAATGACTCGAGTTCTTCGTTCGATAGCAACAGTTCTATATTTTCTAACTCTAACCAGAATTATTCGAATTCAAACGACCTAGAATGGAGAGACCTAGAATGGAGACTTGGTATTGACATAACCATCTTTGTCGTTGCTGTTATTGGTAACTTTGCTGTCCTTGTGGTCATTTACACTACCAGAGAACGACGAAAGACACCATTCGAGATCCTAATTGCTAACCTCAGTGTAGCTGACGTCCTATCCGTGTTGCTATACTTTAAATACCTTATTTACTTCAACATACCACGTCCAAAATGGTATTGCAAACTTGTAGTGCCATTTTTCTCCAGTACCCAAATGGTGAGCGTGCTTACAATGACGACTATTGCAATATTCCCATGTCGATCCATTGTTCATCCTTTCAAAACCAAGCCCTCCACCAAGTTAACGTATTCCACTGTGGCAGGACTGTGGCTTGTGGCAAATATTTGTCTCATTCCAGATTATTTAGTAAGGGAACAATATCAAGGAAGGTGTAAAGAAATCTGGCCATCAGAGCTATTAAACAAGGTCTACACAGTCTCTTTATTCGTTGTGCAGTACATGATACCTTTGACTATTATCGCCATCTCTTACACTAAGATCATCTTGTATTTAAAACGAAACAAAGTTCCCCAGTGTGGTTTAACCAGTGACAGAATAAAGCAGCTCAAAATGACGCGAAAGAGAGACATGGAAGTCATCAAAATCTCTCTTATTATCGTACTTTTGTACACTATTTCTACCTTACCAATTCACATGGCTTGGATACTCTTGATTGTTTTTGAAAGCAACCACATGTCAAGCTTGATTTTTAAGTTTTCTCCTCAGTTGTTATTGCTTCATTCCTGTTGTAATCCCTTCGTTTATGGCACAATATCTCGTGAATATCGCTCTCGATTCGTTCAGGTGCTTTGGAGCATTTTATGTTGCGTGTGCAAAATAAGGAGGACTCAAACGGGCGTGTTACAAACAGAACAAGGGCAAATGAACAATGCCTGTGAAGACTTGGAAATGATTGAGATAAAAGGTTATGTAAAAAGAGATAAAGCTGCAACCGAACCTGCTACCGATCGACCGACCGAAGAGCGAACCAACAAAGCAACCATCTAACCAATCAACTGAACTAGGAAGATTAACAAAGCAATGACCAAAAGCGACCGAGCGACCAAGCAACTACGTAGTGTCATCGAACATAAGTGAAGAACTAAACGCTATAATCGAATGAACTAAACAAAAGCAACACTGTAATGGCAAATAACCTTAAAACTTGAATTGTCAGGTATTAAGATTAACTTTCTTTGATACAGTCAATGCAAGAGAAAATGAACTAGTTGATATTCTCTTGGTCAATGTCATTGACGTTGTCCACCGAAAAAAGACATTTATGTACACACCTACTTGCA